CCCTGTCTGTACACCTGGTCAATAATAATGTCCGCATGGAGTGGTCCTTTGGCCTCTTGTGTGGCATCCACTGCCTGTACTGGACTTTTAAATCTCTTCATTATCATCTCTGACTTCTTGGACTTCTGTCTGAAAAGTTCCCTCTCTTGAATCACTCGCTCTTTTAGCAACTGACTGTTGGCATCGTTTATGGATAAGCGGAGTGCAGCCATGTCAAAAAGGAGCCAGATGACAGAGGCGATGAACACAAAAGCGAAGAACCTCCCACTGCCCCTCAAGTATCTCTTCACCTTCTTCATTTTTTAAACAAACAATAAAAACTTATGCTCTGTGCAGTGAACAAAGTGTCAGAGTGTTAAACTGCGAAGGACACGTTTGTTTCCAAGACAAAGTTTGCTCGACTTCGGGCAGTTCGGCTGCCTGCGTGGCATGCTAGCGATAAAGCACAGACTAAGTCAATCAGTCAGTAAGCATAGAACTGTCACTCAGAAAAACACACTCCGATAACCATGGCTCAAAACAATGGCTCAGTGTACAGTACTTTTTCTCCGTGTCTCTCCACTCAGGTCCAACCGCCCGGAAACATCACTTTTAACTGACCGACTTCTCACCAGACAAAAATAAAGCTGGTTAAAAACAGTTGCTGAAGTTACGTCTACGAGATTCCACGGCACCACAACTTTAACTGCCACGAAGGTTTGTATGAAAGCTGACTTCCACATTGCCACTGCATTCTCATTGGACAGGCAGACAGGAAAAAGTGCAATAAGGAAGCCGATCAATTTCACAGCATAACGCGCGACGACACCGGAAGTGGTGTTTTGACTTAAAACTAAAACATCCTTAGAATAACTATTAAAGCCGTTTTAAACGATTTAAAATGATTATAATTCACATATATTGAAAGTAAGAATTGTTCACATATATCAATCAGATAGACTGCGGCACAGTAAAGAAAAGAAAAAGCCAACTGTTTCGCGAGGCTGAAGCCAAGACGACCGGAAGTACAAGTTAGTAATACGGTGGCAACCAGGACGTTTATACAACAATAAAAGTTCACCTTTAATAGTTTTTAGCCTGATAAAGTAAAGGATATGAATTAACAACAGATGGTGTGTTGTGCCTTACGTATTTTAAAGGTATCTGCTATTTTAGTGGACAAGAATATTCTTTCTTAAGTGTCCTTTTATGTTGAAATCATATTATTTCTACATGCGTTCCTTCCGTTGTTTTAAATCCTGATGCTTCACATATTTTTTGGTTCTCTTTTAAATGGAAACCTATTTTTGTACATTTCTATACAGACTTGGTTGTGTCGTTGAGATCTTTTTGTGACTTTTTTTTTTATCTTGGTGGCCTTAACTTTCCAACAAGGAATATTAAATACGCATTGAGATGTTTTGACCTTTCCCAACTACCCTGTGATTAAAGAGTTCCTCCTTTGAACTTGGGATGTTGTTGTTCTTAACAGCCCAAAGTCAAGGTAAATGGATAGATTGTCGAAACAAAGTCTGAGTAACATCCAACTGATTTATACACCCATTGTTTCATAAAAAAAACAAAAAAACAAATCTCAATTGTCACAAAGTAGTTCAAAGCAAATACTGTATTTTACTGCCAAAAAATATATTAAATAAAGAAAACCTATTTACGTTCTCTCCTATTGTTAGTATTAATTTAATTTATATGTTTTTATTTATTTATTTTATTTTATTTTTTAAAATAAATAGAAAGACCTACTTATTACATTTCAGGTATTCACAACATTCAATTGTTGCAAAACAGGACTTCCAACTGGTGGTGAAATATCATGCATTTGAGATGTCATTAGATAAATCCTGGTACGTAAATGGAAGTGAGTTTTGATAAATACCTTTACTGTAAGGAATCACAGATGGAGACGTACACAGGTCTCATGGAGTAAAAGGTTGTGTCTGTCTGGACAGGCCTGTAACCAATCAGAGAAACATTCACAATATTTAACTAATTTTGTTTCATCTTTTCACTACACCACAGAATATTGCCATTGGTGCCATGTTTTTGTCCTATAGGAGGACAAATATATTATTTATTACTTTAAAAGCATACTATTAATACAAACAAACATGATTATGTAATTCCTTATATGCATGGTCCAAGACAGTAGCAGACACAGCACTCAAAACAAGCCCACAAACTAATACAAAAATACCACATAATTGTCAAAAGTAAGGCCATCGTACTGGCTGTGAGGCAACATATCTAACCAGTAAACCACTATAAGATCTATTTTCTTTTCCCTTGGACATTTCAGTGGTCTGTACTTATGTATTGTAGCTCTGTTCTGGGCCTGATGACCTTTGTTGACTTAAAACAGTACAGGTTTTGCCAGCTACATACTGGCAGCAAGCAGTGTTGATGTCGACAGCAAATATTGATTTAGCCGTAGTCTTTGAATAACACACTATTTACTTTTAGTCATGTGAAACACTTTAGTTTACTTCTAATTTTAGTCAACTAAATATCATAGGAGTTTTAGTCAGGCAAATCTATGGTATCCTAAGTCAACTACTGTAAATGTATCTCCAGAATTTCCAGTCAATGGAAATATCAAATGTGTTTTAGAATGTTAGACTTTTAAACTTTGATTGTCCAATACAAGCATAGAAACAGATGTAATATGGACTATGTATTTTGTTTTATTCATCTGTCTATTACCATATTAAATATTTGAAAATAAAAAACTCAAACAGGTGAAGAAAATATGTTGGTCTTAATGACACTGCACAAGAAATAGAACATTCATCTGTAAATAATTAAAACAAGTATCAGTGAGTGGTGTTTTCCCTGCGATATTTGCTTCACATGTTTTACAGAGGCTCCTGTTGTCATATGTGACGTGACCAAATGTAGGTCATTTGTTTTTGTTATAAACCTCGCGTTAAAAAGTCTGTGTTCTTCACTGAACATACCTTGGGTTCATTGTTGGAAATCGCTGCTTACGACTGAAAGTAGTTTAAAAGTAGTGTAAACTTTTAACGTGCAATAGCAGTTGCTCTGCTGCTGGAGATCAGCCTACCCTCACAATGTGATTCGTTTTGATTGGATCCCGTCTCTATTTGTCCCGCCCTAATAAATTCGTCTTTTGATTCGTTTATCACAGTGTTCATCACAATCGTCATAGGTTTCGTCATCGTAGCGGACTTTTTTTTAAATAGTTTTCGTGAAAATGGTTCATTGACGAATGTTTTTCAAACAAAATTAGGCTGGCAGCAAGGGAAAGCACATTATCGAAACGAGTCGATAAATTAAACCGACAATTCTGTGTGTAAGAAAATGACACCGCCATATATAGAACTAACATTTCTATATAGAATACATATGGAACCGCCCCGCCCCCGGAATCTGAATGAGATTAATGAAACGCGCGTGCGCACACGCACACGCACACACACACGCACAATTTCATCTCTAAAAGCAGTGTTACTGCGACCATTAGGCAGTGATTAGTGAAGATGGCGACAGGTTTTCCTCTTCATCAGCAGGCCTCTCCTGGGAGTCACACTGGCTCTATCCAGCCTATTAACAGTCCCAACACGAGGAGGGAGGAGAGAGGGACCTCCCATGGCGGCTGCCCTTAGCCACACTACACAGGCTTTCATTAGTCTGTTAGCTAAATGATTGGCCTGAGGATAGCCCCAAGCTCCACGGTGCATGTGTTAGCTTATATGCCCCCATTTGATGGGCAAATGTATTAATTTATTCTATTTCTGTATTCACATCGGGTGCAGCCATGGACTGGTGAATACGACTGTATTTTCCATAAACTGTTCAGACATGGGGGTGAACATTATCAAAACGAGGTTATACACAAGTGTCAGGCAGCAAAGTACACTTTTGTTGTGTACACATGTCAAAAGATATGAATATTGTAGCAAATAAAATGACCACCTTGGACCTTATTAGTAGGATTATTTTTTAATGAACTGCTCAACAATGTGTTCCTAATAAACTGTGGTTGTCAATTTTGTTTTTGGTTTTGTTTGCCCTTACTACTCGTTTGTATAACTTTGTTGTTAATTTCACCCTTTAGGCAATTTATTATTATTTATTCTCAATTTTTTATTTATTATTAAAATGCCTTATTTCTATTTACTAGCTGTATATGTTAGTATTGTACAGTATTTATATTAAACAAAAGTACTTTTTACTAAAATATCTATCTATCTATGTATCATAACACCAAAAGTCTTATAAAATAAGTCTTATTCAAAGTCAGTAATGAAGATCTGTCACTCCTGAGTGTGCCTCTTGACCTCAATATTAAAGAATCGTAAATGGGATTTGGTTTAAGAAGTGTCTCTAAAATGACTTGACTCAGTTACGCAATTGTAATGTATACACTAACCCTTTCTGAATGACTTTCATTTGTGCCAGTAAAGAGTTTCAAGTGTGGCTGGGGCCACAGTGAACTGGAATGTTCCAGACTTGATGGAACGAAATAAAAAAAGCCTTTTAGTAGTCAGTGACATCGATAACCTGATCGCTGTGACTCCTCACATCAGAGGGATTCCACTAAACTGAGACAAATGTTAATGCTGCACTGACACTGGCTCATGTACAATGAGTTAAATGCACTTGTACTGTATCTTTAGAACATGTTAATTAGACCCTGGAATTAAAATGACAACAGTTGGTGTGTGTAATTTACATAGAGGTCATGTTGTGCTAATACGGCACTCGTTGAAACAGACAGCCAGCAACAATATGGTTAAGTCTGACCCACTGACATTTCCAGCTCCAAATTATGCACATTGTGTGAATTAAATTAATTAGAGAATTCATTAAGAAATATGGCTTGTGGAAACGAGTATAATATTTAGTTATGTGATGTAATTTTCTTTCATTGTTAAATCTAATTTGTTTCATAACACATCCTGCGGTATTTGTGCCCCTGTGCTAACTATGATGTATATAATTTGTTAGCCATTTAATTAATTATGATTAGAATTAGTGAATGTACAGCTTGCTTTGACAGATGGTTCCCATCAGGGAGACCTTTGCACAATTAACTTATAATCAATTACATCCCATAATTTTCCCTATTACAACCTGAAGAAAAATATCCCCAGTATATACATCTGATAAATGTTTGACGCCAAATACATCAAATGAGCAATTATATATAATTTGTTTTTTTGTTGTTTTTTAATACAATACAGATAAACAACTTTGATTCATTTCATGCTTTGTGTATATTCTACCACTGTGAAATGAACCCAGTGTTTAATCTTTGTCTGGGCTCTCAATTCTCTCATTTGGTGTTTTTCTTCTTCTTCTTCTTTTCACACTTTATTAAAAGTCTATAAGATATGCATTAATTGCTTTTACAGCTAATGTTAATGTTGCAGCGGTATATCGTTTCATTACACTCAGAATTATTAAATATGCTCCAGGTTTGTGGGCTTAGACATTATTTTACACTTGTAATTTCACTTTGAAGTACTACTTATGTTGGCAAATATTTAAGCATTTATTTGTCAGACTACCGCCTCGTTGTACAGTACCTGCTCTTGTCCACAAGATAGAGCTCTAACTCTGCTCCTAGTGTTTGCGCCAGTCCTCGGAATCTAGAAAAAAACCCCTGAAAAGTTACTCTGAAACAGAACTACAGGTAAAAAAAAAATACAAATAGAAAGAACATTTTGAATATTGTGAATATTTGAAAATGTATATGAATGATAACCAATATAGGACATCATGCAGGTATCAAAATATCACAATAGTATTTATTTTTTTTATCGAGAATGTCCATAACTCGAGCAAAATCACTGCACCTACTACTGTTTATCTGTAAGCAAAAATGAAACACAACAACGTTTTTCTTGGTGTTTTTTTTTTAACATAAACGTCCACACTTATTTCCCTGGACAGTTGAGTTTGGTAATAATTAATATACTTTAGATATGATGTCATCATACAGGTTCTATTGCTTGTGTATTACTGCGCAAAATCCAACTGGTGTGTTTGGAAAATTCCAGAAAATAAGTTAGAAACCAAGGGGGGGCATGGTTTCTAACTTAATTTCTCTGTTTAAAAGTCCACAGCCTTTATCAATTTTCTGTGTGTGACATCAAGGTGATAGTGATTTTGCTCCCACTGGACATGACTTAATGTCTGACATAAAAAATAACTACATAATTTGTCTCAATCCAGAGGGCTGACTTGGCATGGACAGCAGCAGCAGTCCTAAATGTCACCCTGTAATGAGTTCTGGCCAAAGGTACACAGTTAGGACAGTGCCCGCTGGCACCTGAGATGCCCGGTGGCCGGCTTTTTACCCCAAAGCCATTTGGACACAGCCAGTTTTCTTTGTGAACACTGCTGTACACAATCTGCATACAAACAGAAAACAAAAAAGTTGGTGAAAGTTTTATTTCACCCTGGCTGGAGAGGACAACAGAAAGTGTTGTTAGGGACTAACAATGCAAAAATTGAGGAAAGAATATATATATATATAAACAACAACACTGCGTGTGGTGTTACCTTCAGGGAATCTGATCATTCTTATAGACTCTTTCGCACCAGGTCACAACTTGCGTCTCTGCCTCGTCTGAGAACTGAAATTAAGTTGCTCTATCAGTTTTGGAAAAGTAAAATATAATAAAACATAATACAGCTCAACACCATGACAAAGGTAGAGATCTCTGAGAAAGGTGATCTGACATGTTAGGAAGAAAGTATTTTAATATTTTTATAGTTTACATTTTATATTTATATTTTTGTCACTTTTTAAAATGTGACAAAAATTGCTACTAACATTTTAAACTAACATTAAAAGAATTTAAATAAATATAGAAATAAATAATGATTTTTCTGGTGATCTGACCGTATGCTTTTGATCACACAATAGTGAAATGGCCTTGCTAGTCAGGTATCACTGCTGTGCTGGAGGAAGAAAGCAAGAGAATGCACTTTTCAAATGCCACAGTTTGGTGTATCACTCCCTGCCTGTGCTTCTTGGCATTTTTAGTTCCATTATTTCTGTTCCAACTCCCGACCATCACAGGCCAAAATGCAGCACCCAACATTTACAGAGCATCATTTCAGAAGAATGCGTTTGTACCCAGAACCAGTGTATATCAGGAGTTCCTTTAAACTCCCCACTCTGTCTTTTTTACACTATTGGTTTAATAACGGAGGCATTCTGAACGTCTCACCAGCCGTCTGTTCCTCTGCTTGATCACAGAGCAAGTTGACTTCTTTTGTTTGACTGCTATGAAACCTATTGGCAACACACGGGGGTTTATTATCTTACAGCGACACAGGAGATGATGGAACATTGTATCTAAATTAGCTTTTTCTATTTCCTGGCGAATTAAATCAATCCCATCCCTTTATGTTACTTTTCATCTGCCTTTTGTCTTGTTGCGGAATCTTTTCTCTTTCCTTCTCATTCATCTGTTTTGCCCTTTCCTTGATCTGATAGCATTAAACATATAATTAAGTCATAAAGGAGGGGACTGATGAGTGTAGCAGATGGTAATTGCGTCCTACATTTGAATGAAATGATATGCATTGCTACAATTTACAACCTTCCCCTCATATTTTATTCAGCAACCTTTTATCTCTTTTCCCTCAGAATTATTCTGCAATAAATTTAGACATCTTATCAATAGCCAGAGTGATAGTGGCAGAAACACGGAAGGAACGAGCCCTGGCCATTTTATGCTGTTTAGAATAATTTTCCATCATAAAGGAACCATCAGAGCTCCTCTATCAGTGTAGAGGGAAGGATATACCTATTTCCAGTGAGGAAGTCGACGCTTTGTGAAAAAGCTGTCAATTTCCTGTTAGCTGAAAAAAAAATGTAAAGGAATGTGGGCTTTTTTTTGTTTGGTTAAAGTTTGATCAAGGTGTCTTAAACTAAGAGTAACCTATCCTTTGTTAAATATTTGTTCTATTTGTTGAGAAACAACTGACACACAAAAATTCAGTCTCTCTTAAGAACCGAACCTGAATCATTAAGAATCTCTGGATTTAATCCGTCTTAACAGTCCACGCAGTAAAGGGTTCTTTCACTCAGATCAAAAACTGTGCCACATCACTACGGGCGCATAGTGTGCCATTATAAATAAATGCATCAGAATGACCTAAAGGCTATTTTACTTACGTATCTGTTATCTAAGGTCAAACTGAATACAATGCAATAGTTCAGAGGTGCCAAACACAATCACTCACCGAGCCGAAAAAGAAAAAACACAGTCTAAGTTGTGACCTCCAACCAAGGCTTTGTCACAACACTGATAAAGGTGTCCATCGTGCCCAATTCTTTAGATTCTTTAAAGTCACAACACTGATAAAGGTGTCCATCGAGGAACTCAGCTGAACGAGTTTGCCAAAGCGCATGTTGTCCTATACCTGGTAAAAGGCAGCAATACTTTACATTATATCTTAAAAACAGTCTGAATTAGCAGGATTTCTATATCCCATATCAAACATGTGGTATGTAGAAAATATTTATATATTCTATTAAAAATAATGACAGTATATTTGTCTTTGACAGTAAGACACGTCGTTGGTTCGGTGTTAATCCCATCTCGTCTGAAGGATAATTTGTACCTACAGTTTACTTCCACATAAAAACTTTATTCCTGTCGTAGCAAAGAGCAGAACAGATGAATGGAGAAATGCCAGAAGGAGCTTTTTGTTCCACTGACATGTTTTCCTTTCACCAGTCCCTGGTGAAGTGCTGGACTCCACTGATATTTGAGAGCTGGTAGCCAGGGCGATATAGGTTTAATTCTCATGTTACCTCCAACCTGCCAAGTACAGGCTTTGGCTGCCAGCTGGAAGGCTTTCATACTTTTGGTGTGCAGGCGTGAGGAGTGGGGGGTATTAGTGGGAGCAAAAGAGATGAGGGCGAGTGTACAGTACACACACAAGTGTCTGTAGACCTTGAAGGTGTGACAGAAATGCTTTCCACATCTAGACACCCCAGGCACTTAGCGTTTAGTCATGATGCAGGTCCATTACCTTTAAGTACAAGTACTTATGTTTGGTCGCCTGTTTTTACAACCCTTCTACCTTGAAAGGAATCTACCCGGGGTGACCCAACTCTATTTATTGATGCCTCCTGAGTTTTCACTTGCTGGTAATAGACTGGAAAACACAGATAATGTGTTTGATCGATCAACGTGAACAAATTTCATTTGTTGGGATCAATAACAGTTTACAGTTGACAGGGCCCAAAGAACTACATTTATTTGAGCTTTTTGATTGAAGCTGTCTTGACAGACCGGCAGCAGGAGACACACCAGACCAGGCCTTTGTGGCAGGCATGGGCTCTTCTGTTCTATTATTGCCAGCAATCTGTATTTAAAACTAATATCAGTGTGTGCTGCATGGCTCGGGGCAAAAGGCACCAAACAATAGAATGTGAAAAATAACAATTCCCTTACATTTTTCATTGGTATCCATTTTTTCATTTGAGGGCATGATGATTAGATTCTTTTTCCAGCAGCATGATTTGGATTATGTTTTCCCTGTGTTCAAAATATAATAGAAAAGTGATGTGGAACCAAAGGGGGAAAAAAAGAAGGAAATTAACTGACGTGCAGGAGAGAGGACGTTTCCATGGCTCAACCTTTTGCAGTTTTCTTCATGTTTCTGCTTTTCATGATCATGCTCCGTGGAACGCCCTGCAGACATGAGAGCCTTTGCTCTGTGTCATTCAGTTCCAGGCCAGGCCACTACCTTGTGCACATACAGACAAAACAGCATGAGATGGGAAGTCCACATGGATAAACATTTACTGTGGAAGGTGTTGCTGCAGGCAAGAGCTATTCAGAGGGAATTTACTGTGTGTACCCGTGTTACGGCAATAACCCTCTTATGGAGTCGTGTTTGCAAAAGCTTTTAGATCCAGTCTTGTAAAAGCACTCGTGTTGGCCGCAGCATTAAGGACTACATATTGGAGTACATTACATACAGTGTGGTGTTTGTTATTGTTTAGCACACTTCAAGTCTTGCCACTAAAAGTGTTTTTATTTTAACAAATGGCACAGACTTAATTACAGTTACTAATGCATTCTAAATCAGCAGATTGTTACGGTAACATTTAAAAACCAAACTCTCTCGTCTCTGTCCAGTTGTTTTAGCAAATTATCAAAAATTGCTGGTTGGATGATTAAAATTTAGTGACAAGCCAAAAAAAGTTATCTGTATTAAATAAACAGTAAAAAAATTATTTAAAGAAAATATATCCAGAAGAGATTTAGCAAATGGGGAATTCACCTCTCACTACAGGCCACTGATTTTGATTGTTGTTTTTTAAGTGATGACCTAAGATGGTTGATCAGTCACTTATATTTTTAGGAGCCCTAAAATTTTTATCTCCCATTGAAAAAACAAGTTTATGACTGCAGTGTGGTTAACTGTAGGACAGTAAATGCCAACTGGATGAGTGTGAGCTGAAAAATTCACGTTGTGTCTTTTGGTTTGGTCAGAACGTGTAAATAAGCACGTCTATATTTAAAAAGAAAACTTGTTTTCTTACACCCAACTTCTAATGTATTTGTTTGAGGTTCCATTGCATTTTCACCACTCCCTCTTGTCCACCTGGACCATTGACTTATTGACAAATGTGCATGTGGACCTTTAAAATACGTATTTGAATACCCCTGCTGTAGAAATTCAATTGTCCAGTGGTAGTGCTGTTGCTGGTGGGGATGGTGTTTTCCCATACATTGAACTCACTACTGGCCCACTGTGACTGATCTGTGGCTGTATTCTCAGTGAAGGCCATGAACTGGGTTGGGAGGACAATGCCATACGACTGCTGGTCCTCTTGCCTTATAGATTTGGCACAGGTTAGTGAGAGCCGTGAGTTGCATATTGTTTGTGTTCATTTGAATAAGGACAAATGTCAGATTTCCATTGCTCCGGGGGGCTTGCATGTTAGATGATCAACTCTTTTGGGCCCCTGGACGTGGGGTCATCAGTACTGCTTCCAGGTCACTGTCACTGCATGGTGGTTCGGGGCCATAATTGACCTTTTGACAGAGCAGAAGGGGACAGCGTTTCTCTGAGGGCAAGAATAATCACTTTACATTTACTTGCAGCAGTGCTCTTGTTAGCTCATTAAGGAGTTTGTTGTATTAAACATTCCATTTGTGGAGTATTTTAATGTTCACAGGCCGAAGTTTTATCTTATGAATAATTGATGAAAATCACTTAAATGATTTGTTAAGCCACATTGGGGTTTTTAAGTAACATGTACAGCTAAAAACATGACATAAGTGAGAGTGCTTCCATTGTTCTATAATTTAATAAATGTACACACAAGTGTAAGTGGGTAATATTTGTGTAATATGTGAGTTAATGAGTCAGAGTGTCATGCCTCCTTTTTGTTGTGCTGTTTATGGCGACATAGAAAGGTTGATCATAGCCTAAATCCCTTGAATCCTTGAGGTTTTAAAGGCTTCTTTCCAGACTATAACAGTGAAAGCAGCCTGTTCTTACTGCTCAGTGGGCTGGTTAATGCTCAAAACATAACACCCACAGCCATGTCTCTCCTTCAACAGTGATTTACATGAATTATTTTATGTCATTTTTCTTTCCTATATGTTAATTTATATCTTTTTTTGTGTGTCACCAATAATCACTGTAACCACAGTAATAACCTTAGACTTAAAGCTTTCCTATAAAACCCCTGCAAGTGCTGTCACAAACACAGAGCTTGTCGTTTCATAGAGTCCTGGTTTTGAGCATTAGGTATAAAATGCTGTTGCATGAGTCTGAGGGTAGAAAAATGCTTCCAGCATCTTTTCTGGGATCTTGAGAGTATTTAGAAAAAAAAGAGCCAGAATGCCAAGGGGCAAGCCTTTGAGACCAGGGTATTACATTATTAATTAAAATACAAGTCGCCTTGTTGCCCATGGGTATACAATATAACACACTTGATTGAATCAGGTAGTGGCAGCACAGGCCTTTTGTATTTTGCGCTTGAAGGGACGAGAGAAATTTGAGCTGGGCTGTATTACTCTACACACAGAAACATGTTTGGAGAAACGCTTGAGAGCTGTCGTTAAAATATATGATTTAAAATGCAGTTAAGTCCATGCACTCATCCATCAACTCTGTTTTCACCCAACATATCGTGGCGATGGTGATTAAAGGTTTTGGGAAAGACTAGAGATTTTTTTTTTAATTATTTGTTTTGAATATGTGAATGTCTCAACTTTTCCAGTGCATTTTTAATTAATTTGTGTAATTCCTCACTCGTTACTGGTCTTGTAAATCCTCTCTATATTTTAACAGCAAATAAACAGCATTAAAATAAAGTAAAACTTGTGTCTTACCCCATTTCCTTTTTTTTCTTTGTTCATGAAAGCTGAAGCACAGACGTAGCACCTTTGTTGATCAAGTTTTCTTCTTTCACAAAACCCTCCAAACGTCTGCTGTAAAAGAAAGAGCAACATTTTTAGTGCTAAACTGCTAAAAGCAAGCTTATATGGGGCCCTGGGCTAAGTAGGCTCCATACGCCCATCCCACTCAAACAATTTAAAACAAATATCTAATTTAATTTGGTGAAATTTGATAGGGCTACAATGAATATTTCCCTAAAAATGGAAACAAAGAACAAACAACCTAATATTGTTTAGTGGCAAGTTTTACTGATTTAATTCCTTCACTTTTCTCTTCTTACACAGATGAACATGTCGTCCAATTCACTAGATCAAGTTAAAAAAAGTCAGTTGATTTTTTTCTGGTTAATGTACCTTCTTATTCTCCTACTCAAGATTACTTTCTTGGTTTTTAATGAAGTGTTGTTTCCCCCATAAGTCCACCGGAGAGCAGGGCGTACTTATAGCTTTAACACCTCCATAATTGGTGTCTTCACTATGGAGGCACCCTCTCCTGGCTGCCTGACCATATAGGGGAGGAACCTATAGATATGGTCCCCCAGACCCACCTGTCATTAAATATTGAAGCCAACTAAGAACAAAGAAAATGAAATCCAATAATAATTTTTCATTAGTAGCTGTCATTAGACAAGTGCTTATTGTCTTTTGAGTTAGGTGCCAATTCATCTAAACCTTCCTCCTTCTATAGTTTGTCATAAAGTGAGGACAAACTTTCAGAGTCTTTCTTTGTCCTTATTAAGGCTCTGCTCTACAGAGGTGTGAATATGTAATCTTTTAATAAGCACCCTGACAGATAAAGTTGGTCCCACTTCTTTTAGTGCTGGTGTGGGAGTGGTAATGGCACCCTACACTGAGCAACTGGTAAGTGAAATGAGAAGTGTGTGTGTGTGTGTGTGTGTTGGTGAGAGAGAGAGAGAGAGAGAGAGGAATAAAGGTATGTTCTTGACCATTTCATGGGGCATTTCACTTCAGCCTCCTCTTGTCTCCTCTCTTCTTGTTCCCTCACCTCTCCTTTTTTTCCTCTCTTGATTCCCACTGACCTCCAGTCTAGGTTTGTTAGTCGTGACCCGGGTCATATCAAACTAATAAAAGATGGAAATATCAAAGCCTGCCCAAGGCCTTTACAATAGCGACACAGCTTCAGGTGATCACAGTGCGTGGATCAGGACAGACCATTGCTGAGGTATCGTCTTTGTCCTTAGCTTGTCTGTTATTCATGTATCTGCATTGTGGAGCTAAAGTCACTGGGTGTTGAAAGCAATGACATGTGTTTATGTGCTGAATGTCCTACTTTAATGCAAATTAATTTTCTTCATGTCTAGATGGAATGTTAGTCTTAGTCTCATGCTTTCTTGGGAAAAAAAAACAAACCCAAACCAAAACAAAGGTTTGATCACAGCTGTGTAACAGCCCTGTTATGAACAGCCAGTTTCTGCGTCTTTACCTTTAAATGATAATAAACCACTATGTGCTACACCCTGCCTTCTGCAGGGGAAAGACCTCAGGACGGTTCTTTGTAACCAGAGAGATTCCTGCTAGCAATGTGGCAAACTTCAACAGAGGCAAGCGCAAACTTCTCATGCAACATTCTCTGGGTCTACATTGTTTCTTTGTCTAATTGCACTGATCTGTTTCCTGGACAAATCCAACTTCTTGTGCTGCAGTTTACAAGTTGTGGTGATTGCATGTGACATTTTGAAGAATGCATTTTTAAGTGTAGTCTTTTCCCATTATATTAAAATTCACATTTTATAAATGTCATGGGGTAATAGAAACAAAAACAGTCACTACAAAACACCAAAAGAACTCTACAATCTCTGCCCAAATGTTTTCAAATTAACTAATTCTTAGAAAATTCTCTACAATCTCTGCCAAAATGTTTTAAATTTAACTAATTCTTAAAGTCTTAAAGTTATAGTAAATACCATTGAATTGTAAGACAGTTATATTTATATGTCTACAATCTCTGCCAAAATGTTTTAAAATTAACTAATTCTTAAAGTTATAGTAAATACCACTGAATTGTAAGACAGTTATATTTATATAGTATAATTTGGGATATACAGTACATTTTCCACTGTGTAAGTTCACTTTTTACCAACTAAGTTCTGAATCGATCTCCTTCTGTTTCACCTTTTATCTTCTTTTATCTTTTAATCTGACATCTGTTGAACCACATCCTTTAATGTGCCAACATTGGTCACCACAAACAGGCAAACTAGATGAAGTCAAACCTGGAAAAGCTCTCAATGTGACCCCTAAACTACACAGGTAGGCAGTACTTTTTTAATGCCAAGAGTTAATAAAGTATTCACTACATTTATTTTTTTGTGTTTTTCCAAAAAGCAATAGTGTGGCTAATAATATCAACGGTAGCATAAGGGGATATTAGTGACTAAAACACCGTGAGGCAGATGTATATGAACTGAGGTGCGAGCGTTGGACTGATGACACCGTCTATCCATTAGACATCCAACTGAATCCATCTGAAAACAAAGTGTCTGTCAGTGAGGCAGCCCAATTGTGTGAGATCGCGGCTGGCTGTTTGACATGCGACGTTCTGAAGTGTATCGAGAGGCACAGCTGAGTGAGTCGAATAGTCTGTGGTCTATTGATAACTCCAGCCTGTTTTAAAATCCTGGCACAACAATGCAACTAGGGCCTTGTGTGCTCTGCTGAGCAACAATACCGTCTCTCACTGGCAGCTTCGGTGTAATGATGACGGACAACAATAAAGGAGCTCCTCTGTTCCACGGACCTGTCATTCCTGCCATCTTTGATAATATATTTTCAATTTTAATAAACAGATAATCCTTGTGGATGTTTAAGTTTTCCTGTTAGTCAGAGAGATCCATAGACAGTACAAAAGGCTCACTGAAGGCAGCGACCTACAGTATCTATACTTCTATCTGTTCTTTTTCCCACACTGTTATCTTCTCACCTACGTGCACAGACAGCAGACAGATGCTCACACACTGCCGCTCTCCATTTCTCTGCCTCTCACTGCTCCCCGTCTGTCTCAGTGAGTAGACAGAGCTGTTTGGCTGCTGCAGTAGCTGGGAGGTACGGTGGAGTGTAAGCAGTGTTGATGTGGATGGCCCCTGGTCAAAGGCCAAGGCCTGGCTGTTAAAACGCAGCATCTTTTGTGCGTCAGAGCCTGCACTGCCAGTACTGTTCCACCCATGCCACTAGGGGTGGGGAGGCATTTACCCTCCACACATTCATTCCGTTGGCATTGCTTGATGCCGGGCTAAATGGCATTGTTACAACGCGCCTCTGAGAAGTGTTGACAGGTCCATATGCTAATTTTAATGAATACAGGGGAGCCGTGGTTCTATTCACCTCAACTCAGCTGCAGAACCCTATCTGCACCTCGACTAGCAAATATAATTGCGGCAAACTCAAATGAGCTCATTAGGAAATGTATTGAATTTACACATTATTTCCAGTAGTTAAGCTGAGTTATTTTCCCTAAGGACTCAATTACATACTCATTTGTGACTCAGGTAACTGGCTTTCTGTGTGTGACTTTTTCAACTGCAAAATTGTAGCCACTGAATAATTTGTAACAAAGCTGTTGTACAAGCACATCTATTGACATTTGTGTGGGGAGTCTCAAAATGGGGGGAGGCGGGAATGGGCTAGGGACAAGATAGCGACTTGCTTTTGTTCCATTATTCACTTCATTGGATTAACTCATAATGTTTAATTCACTTGTGAATTAGTTAAATGTGAACTCATTTGTCTTCATTGCGTTTCCGTGTAGTGTTTTTGTTCACAACGGCCTTGTTGTCTTTCTAACACATGTACTTTCATCAGCCAGTGTGTTGCTGAACTTTATCAAGACAGAAATGTGAGTGCAATTCCCTCTTTCTTTTAAACGCTGAATAAGAAGATAAGTCACAATCTGGAAGAGACCCCGTGAGTCAGGGTTCAGTATCATGGATTAAAACCAGCCTACTGCACTCTGAAATGAAAAGTGAACATTCATTAAGTGACTCACTTCTGGAACCGTGACCTCCCTGAGCCACAAAGAGGAGATTGTTGGACAGAACGGACATGGTGTGGAAACTATGCGACACAGAGGACTGTCCAAAGTTTTGAGTTGCTCATCAAATTGCTGTTTGTTCTGTGTGAAAATGGCTCAGCTTGCTGGAAAACAACAAAGAATTTGGGATGGGTAAGCACAAGGGTTTTCACACAGGCCTGTATTGGCTTTTGCTGGATGAACTAAAGTGACTCTGTGAAGTTTTGGCAAAAGAGCAGTTGTAGCAGGCTTCAGGAATTTAACTGTATTTGGAATTTGGTTTTTACAGTGACCGTATATAAGAAATGGATGTAAAGTGAATCCCCAACTATTTTTATCATGTATATTACTATATAAGTTATATGGGAATACAATTGTCCTTTTTAAATTTATGAATTCACTTTTGACTACCAGTTGTTCTATCCATTTCTTATATCTGGTCAATGGGCATGCATGATAAAATGATCCATGGCGTAGCTGTGGTATCTTCATGTCTACCAGAGTGATGCACTACAGGAAAACAACTGGACCTTTTCGACTAAATGTCTCCTCCCTTTTATTTGGTTGTATGTTTTGGAGAGTGATAAAGCAGCTTTTGGAAAGGATGAGTTGTCATAAAGGTCATGGCTTTCCCCTGACTCTGCTGAGCCAGCAAGCTGTCCAAAGTGTGCAAAAAAATTGCTGTGCACCTTCTTGTGCAAATTTTTATTGTGGTATTTTTCATGGAATCGTGGTTTCTGCTGGGAGTCCTGGAGGTTCCTGCCCATGGAGCAAACCATAAGGGGCTGGTACTGGCCCTAGTTCTGCCTTGGCCCTGAAAGCCTTGGTCCAAACACATCCTCTGCACTCAGCTGTAAATATCACCAACAGCTGGTGGCACCCAAGTTAGTCGGGCTTAACAAATTACTGGCCTTCATGTGGAGAGATCGTGGGCCCCCGTTTGCTTCCCTGCCAACCAAGAGGCCATGGAAATACTATTTGCAACACATTTGTTTATGAATTAATTGAAAATTCAAATGCCTCCAGACCAGGAGTGCCTAAAGAAGGTCTAGTGGGCCCATGTTCCAACAACAGAAAATATGTAAAGGTGCCTGTCAAATTTATAATAAATTTGTTGTCTGTAGTTATATCTACGTGATATAACAAAGAAATAAAGAAATAAACAAAAATCCACCCTAAAAAGACAACAAACAAACAAGTTTATAGTACAAAATTCCAAGAATTCCAAAGTCTGAGGCCAAATCTCTGTCATCAGCGACCAAAGTCCCAGAGGCATCAAGGCAGACGAAGGAAATCTTTTTTCATGCTATACAGGAAGGCAGACATTGGCTGAGGAAAAACCACACTCAGTAATAGTAACTGATATTGTTTCAGTGTTTAAAGACAATGTGAAAATGTTTTGTAAACACTAACCCAATTGAAAACCACCCATTTTGCATCCCGACCCTCCCAGACGCAGCTCTGTGTAGAGAGATAGGAATTATCAAAGTCACCTTTGAGCTCAGTAGCCTGTCTAGTGCCCATGGTATCAAACATAATGGCATTCGCTGTAGCCCAGATCACATTTACGATAGCAGATTTGATACAGCTGTACACCAGTGAAGAATAACTCAGACTAAAAGAATAAAACCCCCTTTTTCAGTTTAAACACAATCCATTTTCCAGTGTAAATCACTTGTCACTCCATTGCCAATGTAACCGCTCTGATCTGAAAGAGAGAGGTGGGGAGAGGGAAGGAGAGAGAGTAAAGATTATCTTTTGGGCCATTTTACCGGCACTGTTGCGTGACAGAGACTGACAGCTCTTTCAGATGACTGACAGGTGTCCTTTGAAATGCCCGTGAAGCAGCTTCTGTTCAGACCGTTGAAATGCATATTTGCCGCTCTTATCATAAAGGCATGGATGGCCCAGATAGGTGCCGTTAACATTGCAAATGGCTCCAGAATTATTCATTGTCAGTGCTGCAGGAAAGAATGAAGGGGTGGTGGGAGGTGGGGGGGCTGGGGGGGGGGGTGAAGTTTGATTATTCTCCTCACACAATGGCAGGGTGCTTAATGATTCCTCTCCACCTTGGCAGCGGCATGTGCCGACTTCAGGCGCTAGCGACGGGTGACACAGGTCTGGCCAAGTGTTAGAGCAAGATCATACGTCCGGGTCCCATTTTAATTTCTAATACATTAATCTTTTCCTCACAGAACCTCCATGAATATTCCAGGGCTCCTTGTTTGTCAGGAAGGCTGTCTCGCTTTCATCTATTCAGGTGGTTTCATTCACTGTGAAAGCCAGCTAAATGGACCCGATCAGTCAATGACAACCGGGACACAATAGAGCCCACTAACACGTTCCTTTTCTCCTTTCAGCCTTCTGATAGACAACCCTGACACCTGGTCCCAGGGGAGACCCTCCGCCAAGTCACTGCACTGTTCCTTGAGAGACTTCCTTTACTTTATCAGCCCATAAAGGATTGTCACAGGTGACTATATCAGCCGAGGTACGGAGCTGCTCCCCCTGACCTGCCCCTGCCACTGTGTGGTCACGGCACCGCACGGTGGAGGCACCGTGTGCTGTGGATTAAGGTAGCTTAAACGCTGTCATACAAGCAGGCTCAGTGCTCCACACTTTCTAAAAATGTTAGGCTTTTGTTCTCCTCCATTAATTAGCATTGTCTTAAGTTCATTAGACCAACGCTGGTGTTGTTACCAGTGAGGCTACGCTGGCCACCTACATGGGCCGTAGCTTTGTAGAACCTGACCTGACATTGGCTCCCATGCTTTCCTGTCAGAAGTGTAATGAGTCACACACAGGGAGCACAACTGTAAAGAACCCACGGGAATGAGAGCTGGGAAACAGAAAAATAGATTAACCCACTTATTTGTTCTTATAATGTATATATGGAGGTGAGTCAAAAGGTTCTAAGACAAATTGAAAAGCATCTGTATTAATGAGAACATCAATGGTATTTCTCTACACATCCTCAATTTAAGTCTTGTGTTTCCATCTGAGAATTCCTGGTCTGTGGAATTGTGCAGGGAGACAGAATTCACACCAAATTAGTGCTTTATGGAGAACGTAAGAAAAATTCCATCTCACACCAAATTAGTGCTTTATGGAGAAAGAAAAATTCCATAAAAATTCTCAACTATCCCTTCCATTTTTATGACAGAAAAAGATTTGACTTTAACCAACACCAACACCTGTACATACTATTACTAGCACATATGTACGCAGTTCCATTCATATAAATACAAATCTCCATTAACTGCATCCACATTCTCCTCAACTATTTTCCAATCTTGGAATGCATCCAACCTGTGAGAATTCCCTTTTCAGACATGTCTGTGTAGATTCTTTTTTTAGACAGTTAAAGTTAAAGTTTGCTCTCGTCTTTGTGAAGACAGCGAGCTTGTACCTGATTCAAATAAGCCCATCAGTCAAACCATATTTTTTTCTACAGGTAAATGAGACTCAGAGGAGCCTGCGTTTCCCGAAGCACACAGGTCTATAATTCAACACTGAACTCCTCAACAGTGGAAACTTAAATGTTCCCTGTCATGTATGGATATTAAAAATATTCAGCCAGCGATGTAGACTGGGTGCCATTCATAATTATGATTTCTGATATCTGCTCAAAGGGGACACTAAGCAGGTATGGTGGAGGAAGAGCACCGATATTTTAGTGGAAAGGAGACAGTCTACTCCCTCAAGGAACATCTCAACTGACATTGGCCGCTGGAAAATTGGGATTTATATTTTCAGCTTTCTATTAGTATAGAAATTAATACAAGCGCTCCTATGTCGTAAAATTAGCTCAGCTCTCAAATTGCAATTACACGTGTTGAGGAGAGAAACGATGTCTGTTCATTTTTAGAAGCAAAAGAAAATTGCGAGGAAACGAGGAAAGTCATCTTGACTCAAATGACAAACCTTAGCGCATCTAAGCCTGCCCTTGACGAACTAGCACTGGTACCGATTTGTTCTGGTGACACTGTCTTTACCTCTCATGTGAAATAAAAAGGGAGAAGCAGATCAAATGAACAGTGAAATATTTCCATATTCAAGTGTGACCATTTGGGAAAGGCTTCCAACCAGAAGGAAGTCATCCAAATTATTCTGCCCTCTTCCTAAGGGAGGGCATTGTTGAGCAGAGGGCACTGGTGAATGTAGCTGCAAGGTGAGAGGAGCTGTACCCCAGAAACACTGAGCACTTCAGTATTTGGCTTATGATTGGTGCTCAGCAGCCTGCCAGGACAAGTCACTTCATTCTACATGAAACTGTAAACTATGCAGGGGAGAGATTATAGGGCTCAGTCTGGATACATAATCTTCATTAGCTTTTTAAAATGATCAGTTTTCCCTTTTTGTTTTTCTAAAACAAATGATCAGTTTTCCCTTTTTGTTTTTTTTTAAATTAAAAAAGTGACCTAATGAGGAGGAAACATGCACCACTGCTGCACTCTACTACGTACAAGAGCAGCAGTGATTACCTGGCATTAGGGCGAACTTTCTCTCCACAGCCCATGCATAGGCTCTGGTATTGAGGCGAGACATTAATTCATCGTGTCAACCTGTCCCCCTGGAATATTTATGATGCTAAATACATTTAATTAGGCTCTGGGAGCTCTGATGGGAGAGAAAATGCACTGTCAGTAAAAGTAATACAAAAAAAAGGACTTTGTTTCCTCTAATGCAGATAGGCTGCTAATGCTGCCGACTCACTATCGCTGACAGCAGCGTGAGACCCCGCAGATGGAATGTGAATAACACTGAATCATTGGTGGCATGTTCATTACAGTGTCATCATAGCACCTGACGAGGTTGGTGCAGATGCTTATTGAGAGGAGGACAGTCTTATTACTGAGCAGAAGAGGAACGTGTCTCTGCAGGTGAACCGCTGCTCTGCACACAAAAGACACGATCAAGTTTGCAGGAGTGCAAATAGAGGGGGCATGTTGTGAGGGAGAAGATGAAGATGACAATTTCCTACCTCCGGGTTAGAACCGATGTTGTACTTAAGTTCATAGAGGTTAGGAGAAAACTATTAGCCTCTCAAAGAAAATACTATTATTGTTGTTTTTTTATACAGCCTTTCATGCTCAAAGAAAATACTATTATTGTTGTTTATACAGCCTTTCATAGTAAATGCATTAGTGATTTGAAACCAGAATATGTATGAAGACAAAATTTAATCACAGTCTTTTAAAGTTTTAATCGTAAGTCACGGTTCATAAACCTTTTTTGCAGTGCCTTTTGTGGCTTGAACTATTGTCAAACCCCCAAATGTTGACACCTGCAAAGATATTGTTCATAGGAAATTTATAAAGGTCTTTTTTACTACAAAATGTCCATGTTCATTGAACATAGATCAGTGCAATATCCCAATAATAACACATCAAGAAACATTAAAATTTAAATGAATTTGTGTTGTTGCAGACCCCCCTGTAATAGCCCGCCCCTTATTTTGCGAACCACTGTCCCCAGTTAAGCTGGAAAATACTATGTTGAGATAGAGCACAAGTATTTTTTTGACTAATTATTTAAAAGTCAATGCCGTCAATTTTGTCCTAACAAAAAATATTAAAACAATATAAATAAATATGTAGGTTTAGTGTATGTCTTCCAAAATCAAACAGGAAAGGTCCAAATTCATTGGCTGACAGCTGGGTTTAAATTGAGACATCATGTCTGGTGGTGATAAAAACACAGCTACAGTAAATAATAGCCAGTTTCCATCTTGACATCTGTCATCCAAGTGGAAATGGATGGGGAAATGACCAGCTCTCTATCGGCCCAGCTCTGGCTGTGTCACTGGCTGAATGATGCAAATAGGAGATAATATCAGTGCTATGGTGAATGGCATTACTCCAAATCTAATGTCATTAAAAGGGTGGGTATTAGCTCTGCTGTCTGCAGCCAGCGGTGTGGGCTGCGGCCGGCTTGACTGACACACAGATTAAGTGCAGTGACAGGGAGCACAATAAAGTCATCAGAGAATGTGACATGTCAGTTAGAGGGGATGAAGGGATGAATTGTCACTCTCTGTCACAGCCCATCCTCTCCCTTATCCGTGATGTCCCATACACCACCGTGGGAACGGGGGGCGGCGTGGGCGCTTCAGACAAATATTTATTCAGGTAGAGGACAAGTATACCCACTCAAGCTTTCCTGTTCACTCTACATGTTTGTAAATTTACTCCCAGGAGAAGAGGAGGTGAGGAGTGGAAAGCCATAGAGTGGCCATTTGATTTTTTTAAAGCAATCTGGACACACCCAGAAAAAACAATTTGTAGCATTGAAATAAAAATAAATGTATTTTTCGCCATAAAAATGACATTTGTTGTGTTGATGTTCCCTGGTTATTATTTTGTTTTATTTCTAGGTTATAAAAATTCAGCACTCTTTAAAATACATAAACAGAATAATGAGAAGTCAATATCACTGCAGTTCAACCAAAAGGTACATTACTGAAATGAAAAATGATTTAATTATCATTTAATTATAATATCATTAGTCAAAACAAATACCCTATTTCTTTTGGGTGAAAAAAAAAATCACCTACCTTTTCTTGTTGTTTTAGAGTCGGTGCATCCTTGAAAACGTAGAGTATACGCCTTGGCCAAAAGATGGCAATGTTGCAGTGCTGAATTCCAAATGACGGTCCTGCCCCCCCTTCCTGCTGCCTCTCTTGCAGACTGCAGGCACTGCTCTCTCCTCACAGCACTCTTCAAACTATCCAGGAAATTTGTCATCCTCGCAGGATAAATCTGTTCAGAAGTGCAGGAATAATGTTAGAGCCCACCACTTAGGTGCCACCAGAAAAGTTGATTACATGGAGGACGTTTGAAAAGACAAAAGTTTGGTGTGATAACTTGAGAGAACTGGGCCACAATGGACTGGATATTCTTTTGTCATGAGGTGACAGTTCACTGGTTGGGAGGCAATTTGTACCTGATCTCTAATGGCTGATTTAACTGAGAAAACCATGGATCCTATGTCTAAAACCTATTGGAGAAAACCATGGATCCTATGTCTAAAAGCTATTGTTTTTTTTTTTGTAAGTTGATTGGAAACATTTTCTGCCTTTGCAGTACAAAAAAATGTTTTTTAAACAAATTCCTCTTTTTTTTTTTACCTTCAGATACCATCGTCTTTTTTGTTTAAATGCAGATAGAAAAAAAAACATTTTGAAAGATGGATGTAGGTTTTCAGTTGAGATCATCTCACAGCAGGAAAGCAATTGGACAGCCATTATGGCTGTGAAATACTTGAAATGTGCCTCTGTAAATGCTTCCTGACTCTACGTCTATTATGAAAAGGGTTACTAGGACATATGCTATAAATAAGTGGTCTAAACATCCTTCTTGGAAGCCTGCATTAAGAACGCATTTTGAAAAAAGAGAGAGCGAGAGAGAGAGAAAACAGAAAGGTTGCTCCGCTTTCATTAATTAAAGAATGGAGTAAAGTTGTAAGAAATGACAAGGTGAGGTTTGTACACCTGTTTACGGCTCTGGAGTGACACTTGTTTGCTCTGTTGCTTTGAACAAAGCAGGAATAGAACTCTCTCTCATGGCCACTTTGCTGCTCTTTATTATTGGCTTATTGCCTTTAAGCTGTCACCACTCAGAGCATTTCTGCTCTCAGGGGATCGTCTTCAGGGACTGGAGAGAGCTCGGCTGCCTGGCAGTGCCGGCCGCTGTAGCACACTGCTGCTGCTGCTGCTGCTGCTGCTGTGGTGCTACGTGTTGCACACAGTCCTGTCAAGCTGCTTATTTCCCACTGATTTATACGTAAACATCCCCACTAACATGTAAGGCGTGTGGAAAGTGTTTAAGTGAGCTCTGAAATTTAATGAGGAAAATGAAATGATCACAGCAGCTTTATGTTCTGTTTTTCCTGTTCGTGCAAGTCAGCTTTTCAGCGACTCTAAAGGCATCTGTGGATCTTTGTGATTGTAAATAGAAATCCCTACAAGAAAAGAGAGGGGAGTGCAGTTGTCGCCTCAGTCAGATTGTCTATTTGCCCTGGGGCAGTTGTTGTTGATTCGTCCTTGTATTAAATAGAGGGAGATAATTTAGTGAAAACCCACAAAGGCAGAGAAAAAAAAACATACTTTTTAAAAAAATGACCTTTTGTTCCACATAAAACTTAAACAAATGTATAACATATTTGCTATTAATAGAAATAAAAATTGAAATAAAAAAAGGTAAAGTGATAAATGATGTTTAAATGTGGATTGCAGGTATAAAGAAATCCCAAGATTTAGCAGAGAGGCATGTAATTTTTTTTCTTCTCGCAGCTTAATCCCACCATTCCTCCACCTCTCCTCTCTTATGCCAGTCACATTTTCTAATTAGCTTTCCCTGTGGAGGAAGAAGATGGATTATATTTTAATATCTGGGGCCTAAAATTAGTTTATATTTTAGCAAGTTAGCACTTCTTGGAAGTTGATTTACTCTTGATGCTGTAAAACCCGTGAGCTTGCAATTAATCATTCTCTTTGGTCTCCTTCTCAGGGAAAAAGGAGGCTGCGGTGTCACAGTGCGGATCACAATAGGTAAACACCTAATTTACACTATTTAGAAATCACCTCTCTAGTATTGTACGACGCATGACACTTGCTCCCTCAATTGTTCCGTCCTGCCCCAGTTATTAATTACAGCAGACTTTTAACAAAGCGACATTGTCTATGACTAATCATCGACACACAATGATTAAAGACGTTCTGGGCTTTTTTGAATTACCGGCTTCTCCTTCATCTCTGTTCATTCATGAGCTGCCTCCTTTTTTTTCCGTCCTTGGTCAAGAATTTAGTTGGCTGTTCCCCCCCGATCCTGAGAGGCTTTCACGAGCCCATCCATCAAGAGTAAAGGGTTGAGGGAGAGCGTCGACAATGCTGCTGCTGCTGCTGCACTGATGTAAAGCATAAAGGATTAATGGTTTTTTAAAGGTAAGCATGCTTTTACAATATACACAACATTTGCCATACAATGCAGCATTTTTTTTTTACATTTTTGTTCTCTGTGCAACTTTATAAAAAGGGAAGTCAATTTAGAAATATGTCAAAAGTTATTAAAACTGTACATTTTTTTGGATTGCTTTAAACCCCTGATGTAATAGAAAAAGCTTAACTTCAGAATATTTGATAAAAGTCAGTGATGAAAAAGTAATAATAATAATAAAAAATGAACGTGATTATCACTGGAAATGTGCTTGACAGAAGAGCAGGTGTGTGGATGGAGTTCATCAACGTCTCCCTGACAGCCACACTGTGTGAGGAGAGCATCTCCTAAGCCTGGATCTGGCACAGCTTTGGAGGACTGTTGGTGACTGAAGGCAGTGCGGAGTCAGGAGGATCATCAGTGGCTCTCTCCCAGGGAGATGAGCAGCACAGGCCAATTTCATATGCGGGGCTCGGCCTCTGGGTCTGAGTGGAGGTGGGCTGGGTCCACACAGTATCCTGGCTTCATTAATCATCCCGCTAAGGCTTACCGGCAAACCCCCTCTCCGCCCTCTCCTAGACAACCCCTCGGATTACACAGAGCCAGCGAAATGTCAGCCCAAATCTGAGTCTTGATGCAGATAATCATTTCAATAATATTTCTCCATTTGTGCCCCCCATGCCAGGGGAATAAAGCTTTTCCGCTGTCAGGTAGCATAAGACTACAGTTGGTGGGAATACTTGACTCTGAGCCAGATGGCTTAGCCATGCTTGCAACATATGTTCAACAAGCAGTGCTGTGCCAGGCAAGCATTAGGTTTTTATTAATTTGAAGCAGCCAGGTATGCATGTGTATATATTTACCTGATCCATCACTGCTCATCCTCCAGTCTTCTCTTTGGGGAATCTGACTAGACCACACTTGTGTTTACAGCAGGAAAATATCAGATCAAGGCTTCACATCATTATCATAGTGTTTATTCTAACTTGGTTTTTATCTCATTTAACATCTTTTTTTTTTTTAAAGTCTCCAAAAAGACATTGCATTTGTTACCAATCAAAGACACTCAGTGTATATTTATGGCTGCAGTGTCTGTCATCCTAGGGGCAGGTTGTTAGAAAGCAAATTACCATTTAGATTCATGAATATGCTTGAGTCCGAGACAAAAGAAACAGTGCTGCATGGAAGCAGGGCAAATTTATTCATTACCACTAAGTTGAACTTCCCTTTAACAGCCCGGTGCTCTGAAATCCTGGGAGTTCTTCTCTCTCAGTGACTTATGGTAGTGCAGGGGGAGTCGGGGGGGAGCCGCGCGGAAAATGTCAATAGAAATAGTAAGTGTGAGAGAGGAGGCTTGCCTAATTAGTGCCCATTTAGATTTTATGACGGCTCTGAGATCTGCTCTTCCTGACAGAGAGCACTATAGTTGCATATTGTCCTAGCCTGAGGGAACCATAGGAAAATCCAGATTTATTGTACCTATCATACCAGCATATTTCACTTGCCATTATGAGATGCCATCTTGCAATGATGCCAGATTATTTATTACAGATTAAATTGTGGGACCTGGGTGGTTGAGGAACATTTCAAAGTACCATTCCTCTTATTAACTTCTTCATTATCTGCCCCACTGTGATCTAAAAGCTCCCTGCTTCCTGTCGGTGTTAACAGATACATCACCCATCGTACAACGCCTAACTGTTTTCTCCGCTCTCTGCATTTGTTTTCTAACATTAGTCCCACAATGCACTGCAGCTCATCTGTTAGCCCGACTGGTGGCAGAATGTGACTTCATTACGGCTAATTCCACACGTAGAAGTTTTTCATTCCATATGTTTGGTTTAAAACTAGAATCTGTTGCGATGGTTCCATTCCTTTGGGTCAATTAAATTAATATTATGCTTTATTTTGGGTCTAATTACTTGCAAGTCTGTCGCGTTGGGGCACAGGGATAGTGAACTGCAGCTTCCAGATGCTGGAATGGTTTTGAACCCAAACATTGTTTTCAGTTCTGAAAAGTGCTGGTCAAGCAGCAAATTCTTTCTTTTTTGACACAGAGAAAGAATGAAAGGTCATTAAAGGTCAGTGCTATTCTGGATGCTTCTCAATTAGCAATTAATTCAACATCCATTTATTAAGTTATGACTTATTTTAATTGTTAGTTTATGTTTAACAACTATAATTAAGTTGGTCACTGAACACACATTCTTTGACGAATAAATGTTCATGTTAGGTCTGTCACATTTACCACATTGTATCTGATTAATCCCAGAGAAGCTGGGGATTAATCACGATTAATCAGGACTAATCGTGATTGTAATTAATCATGATTACACACACACACACACGATTAATTGACATTCATCAAAATCCTTAAATACAACAAAAATCTCTTCTACTTTTTTCTCCAAATGATGGAATTATTAACATGGAAAAATGCAAAAGTGAAATTGCAACACTCCCTCCCAATCTCTTTAACTGTTGTGTCAGTCAGCCTGTCAGCTGCAGACTTGTTTAGTGCCCTGTGATCATGAGGCTCTGACACGAGCATCTGATCTGAATTTGAACACACGATTTCCTAAAACAATTTTTTCTTACAGCGTGCGTAAATAACAACATGTATTAAGACTGTGTATTTGAGCAAAACATTAAGTGGACGGACTGGGAATTAGTGGATATACAGTTACCTTTTTTCAGATTAATCTTCAATAATTAATTTATGGTATTTACACCACAATATTATTACACAAATTATAGTTTAAATTGCATTTTTGTAAACTGTAGTATGTTTTCCTGAAATTACATTTGTATTGTTTTTTTTAATCTACTCTGTCCTTTTAACTCTGTCTCAAAGACACTGGCATTTATCCCATTTACACATCGGTGTCCCATCTATGCTAAGGACCTGAGAGTTGTATTTAAGTCATTGTGCAGGATTTTATTAAAATGTACTCCATACTGTGAGGGGAGCTCGTCAGGGAATAACTGGGCCCTGGACTCCCATTACCCAGCATAAAAGTGTCAGCCACTTTAATTACATTCATGCCTTCCCTAGTCCATTTCACTGCAGCCACAATCAGATTCCATGCACTGATTTCTGTTAGTGGTGAGACAGTAATCTAGGCAGAATTTTAGCATGGGATTTTAGACCATTTATTCCCATCTGTCATCTGAACTGGTGATATATGAGCAGGTCGCTGATCTTCACTCACGGGCAACATGTGTCGTCTGATGTTCGCTCAGTGTGAATTTCAGTGTCTGTCCCTGGAATTGTTGATGAACTTGGTATATCTGGCCACTAAATATCAGTGCACCCCAGCTAGACTAGAAGAATTGCTTGTACACAGGGGCAACCCTTGCACAGAAATGTGATGGCAGAAGGTGGGGGAAAGGGGGCGTGTGTGTAGGGTAAGGGGGTAGGAGGATGGGGCGGGGGGGTCAAGTTGTGCCGGTCAGACAGTTAGCGAGCGAGGAAGAGGCAGTGTCACTTACTGTTTCACGGGAAAGCTTCCTGACCTTCTGAGAGTGAAAGCGAGATCCTCTCTTGTTTATACTCAGCCATGGATCAGTGCGTGGAATATGTCTACATCCTCTCAGCCAATTTCACACAGAGGAGGCGCAGTGTGGGCGGCTGACACAAGCCGTTTCCCCTGGACGATGAGGCCCATCCCTCATGCATGTCCCCTGTCTGCGACTGAGAGACAGACTCAGACGGAGGCACTCTACTGCTCCACTGGCCCACAGAACCATCCCCTCCCCTGAGAGCCTCGTGGTGGGACCAGCCTCTGACTCTGAGTCCTTATTTAAGAGACAAAGTACTTTCTCAGCCAAAGAGTGGTGAGATAATTAGGAGATTTATACCCTTGTTGACTCTTGCAATATAATTTACACCCTCTTCTTTTGTGTTTTACCAGAGTGCGTGTAAAAAGTTCTCTTCAAATGTCACTTTTTTCCAACAGTGCAGGATACATTGTGTGTTCATATCTTCCATTGCTGCATGGAGAAATTATGAAAAACAACTCACAGAGGCTCCACTGAAAACCTCTGTTTTCATACAACCAGGGGGCGAGTCCTCCAGAAGCTAATTTACAGGCGGAATAAGTGGACATAAAGCACTCAGGTGAATTATCAGCCACGCCATTAATTACCTCTAATGATTTCAATGTGACACACACATTTGCTATAAAAACTATTTATGGCACACATTAAGGTCAGGCTTTTCTTAAAACTAAGATTCATGCACACACCAGTCATTGAAAAATAAGCTAAAAAAAACAATCCTCCAAACTTAATTAGAAAATGAGAGATTCTTACTGTTGTGGCTCCATCCAGTTTTGCATTAACAATCAAAAGGTAATCAAACCTCAGCCAGTGATCCCACTTCAGAAGCACACACTGCTCTTGGATGAAGCCTCTTCACTTCATGCCCAATTGATCTAATTACATAAAGAGAATTCTCCCTCTGATCTGGTGGTTCCTGTTAGATCTAGCTGTTCACTTAATTAAGTCTTCATTCTTTATCACAGTGGTGAACCTGAGAAAGCCATCTAATATTCTGTCTTTCCAGGGTCCACTCCCAGCATTTTGTCTTGTAGTTCTGAACCGGTAGCATGCAGTGAAGACGGGAGGCAGACGACACACTGACTGTTTAGAGGGAAATCTGCAAATGTATGACGTAGCTTATAGGATACACATTATTCTATGTTATATTATTTATGCAAATAAATATGGTTCCTTGATGTGAGTAACATGCTTTGGTGGAAAATAAAAAACAAAACCAATGAGTGAACGCAGCGGGACTTAACATGTTAACATCTGGTTCCTGTACCTTTACCTTTAAAAGGTAATGATCTGCTATTTGTTCATTTGCAGGGGAAGACTAAAGGATGGCATCATGGACGTAACCATGACAACGCATGAGCAAAGGTAGAAAGAAAGAAATGGCTGCCAGACAACAAACTGCTGTCAAACTATTCAAGAGTCCAGAATTAACCTGGGTGTTTGGCTAGTGTTAATGTACGTGAATGAAAACATCACTTTGTATCTCCTGTAGAGAAAAAAAAAATCATAAAAAATAATTTTTAAGGTAGTTTGTGAATTAAATTTTGAATTGTTCAAATTATACAAATGAGATTTCTGAAAATAATAATACTATTTTATCTGAAGTATTTAAGCTTTTTTTTCACAATGACTCTCACTTGTCTCCTCTGACCTCACACTCTCTGCTCTGGTCACAGTCAGGTGTTCCCTACTGCAGCCACTGTCCTGAGTTCCTCTGTGCCGCCTTCCTTGTAATCAGCGACCCTTGTTTCTCAATTACAGGGTGTGAATTTGGGCTCCTGCGTGACCTTCTCTCAGTGATCCTACGACTGACCCCTTAATAAGACAACATCCTCCCCTCTACTGCTTGGTGTGTTGCATCACTTTTTTTTTTCATAGTAGAGATCTTTATGAAGACAGATATGAAAGGAGGCGGGTCACTCTTGTTGTGTTCTCACATCCACTCACTTCACAGGCTCTGAACAGGGGCTTGATGTTTACTTTGATTGTTCACAGGCTACCCCCTGAGGTCAAAGGTTGTAGGGCAGGAAGCATCACTCCCTTGTAGGTAATCACATCCAGCTTTGTGCACCTGTAACCTGACACTGAGGGTGGCAGCTTAAAGGCTGTCTGCAGTCTTATAACAGCACTGGACCACACGTGTAATATTAGCAGCAGCAGCAGCAGCAGCAGCAGGAGGATGTTGCAGGGAATCACCTGAGCTCTTTGTTGATGTACAACTCTTTGCTGCGTGGAGTGGACCAGTTTTTATGTAGCGTACCTCATTTCCATCAGCTTTAAAGTGACATATTAGCAAGCTCTGGGTGGTAAAGGTGATGTAAAGATTACAGCTATTTACTGAGACCCGACTCATATCTCTGCCTAGATTACCTTGAGTCTGAGTTTAAAGAGCGATTACTCAGAACGAGGAAGTTAAAGAGGCAATTACATAATGAAACGGGCCATCAATTCTATCCGTGGCCTTTTTCCCTTAGAACAGAGATGGCCCAGATATCCCTGCTGCAGCTGACCCAGTAGAAGTACAACTGTTTGTATTAAACTCTCCTTCATCAAAGCAGTAGGAAGCCGCATGGCTCTGTGTGGCGTTCTCCCTCTGCTCCGTAATCCAGTTATTAATTATCCTCCCTAACACAGCAGCCAGGGCCATTGTATTTACAGTGTTTCCATGGTGACCCCAGCCCATTTATAAGGTTGGTGTCAGTATTAAGACAAGGACTGCATTCAAACGGCCTCCACCTAAATATAGCAGTGTCTCATAATGTGAGTGTTATTATAGGGAAATTAACACCACTCCACTGTAGCACAGATTACGTTACAGACTTACAGTCATATTCAGCAGTTCTCTCCCTCATTGAAGATTATGTACAATTATTCCAGGTTGTGTTGCATTGTTTGTTAATTCAAATACTGATCTAGTCCACAGTTTATGTCAAAGTGAACTGACATCATCAAAAGGCCTATCATCAAAAGTACGGCGGTGTAAAAATATTTTGGAACCACTGACTTACAGTACGTAGAGGTCACCATTGGTCCATTCCTGGGTCTTTCCCAACTGGAACAGTCATGCTCTCTCTGGTGGGCACAGAACCTCAGAGCTCCCCCTATAGGTTCAAAGATACACAGAGCTTGGATTATTGTGGATGATGGGTTGTGGGAAGGGATTATGTTAGCTTCAGATAAGGCTAAGATAAAGTGGTTAGGTTAAGGTAAACAGCAAGGGTAGCTCTAGAGCACAGGTCTGAGACATGTGGATCCTGGGCCAAATGTGGCTCATTAGCCTGCTCTTGGGTTCCATGGAGGATTATTATGTGGAATTTGTGAAATGAGCAATTTAGATCCAACTGTGCTTCTCAAACAAAGACGATTCATGATGAATATATCAAATCACCCTGCAAAACCTGATAAGTGACAGTATTTATACAGAAATCATCGACGTAATGTCATTGTCCTCTTCTACCTAAGCTCAGGTGTGACATTTCTAGCAGCAGTGCAGGAAGCAGGAGCAATGTTAAAATGATGTTGTAGAGGTTTGCACATTGTGTTTTTCTTGTGGTATAAAAGGTAAAACAACAATACATTGATCAAACTGGCTCTTTGGTTGTTGAACCTTGCAGTTAAGGGTAGGTATGGGTGCAAGAAATGGAAAAAACTGGCAAAGATTAGTGTTAAATAAACAGAAAAGTTATAAAAGTTTTGGTATAGAAAAAGGAAACTTTAGAATTGAGAAGAAGAGGGGGTTAATGCTGAAAGGTGAGGAATGTTTAGGGTTATTAGAGGTACGAGGACGGCGAGTGTCCTGTCGCTGTAGTTTGTCCTTCGAGTGCAAAAAGTCAAAGAGTAAGATTGTCGGCAGATCTTTTTTAGGCCCAAACAGAACCCACGCCTTCTGTCACAGCCTCCAGCCCTGGGCCCGACGGCAACCTGCTGCCAGGCCTATATGCGCTGCCAGTTGTAGTTTTTAATTGGCCATCTGGGGAAAGCAGGATCTAGTGGCTGGATATTAATCAGTAAATTAACCCAGCCATAATATAGCTCCCTCCCAGTGGAAGCCCAGCAGCTGTGGGCAGAGAAAAAGAAGGCGAGAGTGCAATAGAGAGATGAACCACGGGCTGGAGGAGCTAGAAAAGGGAGGCTCCCGAATGGGCCGGCTCCTGATTGAACATTTCCTCCGTGTCCCTCGCCACACTCCCCTGTCTGCAGCAGAGCTGACCCCCAATTTGTCTGACAATCACATGGAGGATTATCTGCCGCATGTCAGTGCTGATGTCACAGGTACTGGCACTTGCTAAGGACAAAGCAGCAAATTCAGAGTCGCAGCTTAAAACTGACAGCTGTACAGAGGAGCGGAGCGGGTGGAGGGAGAGTGTTTGACCAAAGTTCGGGGGCGAGGGGAGGGGAGGGGGGTGGTCTCCCTTCACAAGATCTCCCTCTGCAGAAAAGTCCACTCTGTGCATTTGTGTGTGTGTGTTTTATATGTGCATTCATGTGTGTGTGTATCATTAGTGTGTGCCTAGAATTGCTGGCAGTCCCCAGTGTTAACCAATTAAAAGGCTAATGAATATACAACAGCTAATTATTATTAGTAAGCTAAATTATCATAATACCCTCAGCCTCCAGTCTCAGCAATGAGTTTGGACATACAGAGAGCAGTGAGTGATTTTTCAGAGCAAACATTAACCACCGAGCTTATGAAATTATGTTTTGCCTAAGGTTAAGGAACCATTTATGCAGCGTGTTAAAGCACATCCAGCTACTGGACCCCTGGTTCTTTTACATTTTGAGGTGAAAAAAGGGAAAAAGGGAAATGATGATCTGACAAGACGGAGGTCATTTTTCATCACGTGTGCAAATATTAATACATAACACATGTTTCAAAAGTAAATGATTCCATATTCATACAAAAAAGAGAAACAGTAAGTGCAGCGTGGACATCAAATCCTGGTCAATCACCTGCAACACTGCACTGTAATAGCCTTCTGCACTTAAAAGAAATAACAAACCCCAGAGGCGAGTCTACCACTGAGTCACATCCTATTTTTTTTTTTTTTCAAACACTTTTCAATCACTGGTGAACTGGAGATTTCAATAGTTCTTCTATTTGAAAATTGGTGAAACTGCAGTTTGAAAATGGTCTAATGTTGAGAAATTCTCTGATCATGTCTGTGATGTGGACTGAACCACAAACAACCATTCACACTCTCATTCACACCTATGGTCAGTTAAGAGTGAACAATTAACCTAAAGCCTAAAGGACCTAGAAAGACTTGAGTCAGTTTAGAGTGAACAATTAACCTAAAGGACCTAGAAAGACTTGCTCCAACCTGCAAACTGGTGATCTTATTTTTGTAAGGCAAGATCAATAACCACTCTTCCACTATGTGGCCAATCACATTGCTTCTGTGTATAAGAAGCCACATGTCTGTAATACGTGCAGCATGCAGCTTGATAATGTACTGCTGAGAAATCAATGTATTTTAACATTTAGGCAATTACACAATGTCCTGGGAACTATACAGTCATGGATAAAGTGAGTTTTCACAGCTATGTTTAGGAACGTTCCAGGTGGATTCACCATCCTTCTAAGAACAGTAGTAACCACCTCTGGAGAAACACTATGTCTTGACTTCTATATAATATTTCATGCATAAATTCAAAGTCCTTTCAAAACATAAAACATCAGACCATTCATTCTGTTGGTCGTCCTGCTGCACTGAAACATGAGAACTGTATGATTCTGATCCTCCGTTTGTCTGATGGCCTCACTGGGAAAAAAAAAAAATCACGGTAGAAGCGAATGTCACAATACATCACAGAAAAGCAATGTCAACCACTGACCCAATCTAGCTCTTATATATTCATGCATAGCAAACACAGACTCAAATCCGTGCGGCATATGCCATCTGACCCAGGCGAGGGCTTTTATGGTGTGATGTCATCACGCCCCATTGTCATAAATGAACTACCTCACTCCTCCGCCTGCCTGTCAATAAATTTTGAAGGGGCCTCGGTCATGTGTCCCCACTCCAGTGTGCCTTAGATGGACATGAAATAATTGCCATGCAAAGAGTTGCACATTTCCTTTTCTAATTTTAAGGGTCAACAGCATTTTAATACCGTTTTAAACACACACACACTGTGTTTTTTATGATGCATGTACAAGCGGCTTTTGATAGCTTAACCAGCCAAGCATGGTTAAAGAGAGAAACCACTGCAGCTGCTTCCAGGACCCACTTAATTTAGTCCCCTGACCCCGGTTCACCTGAGTCTGCATGGAAATCATAATGCAATCCAAGTGTGAAGAAAAATGATATAGTGTGTATTTACCCCAAATATTTATGCAGGGCCTACTAACAGTCATGCTCACTCCTAATAAAGGGAAAGTGATGCCTTGTAATACGGGCAGTGCTGCCTTGCTACCACGGTGCCTGGGGCCATTGTTTGCTCCATTATCATTTTCATTGGATTCTGTACAGAGCAGTGTGTCTGCTGCTTTACAGTGTCTGCCTCGTGCAGTGGAGGAGCCTGGTGTTTTACAGAGGCACTGCAGAAATTAAGGGAAGTCTAATAGGATTTTTTTATTTATTTCTTATCTCTCACCCGTAAGTGCCTTAAAGCTTGTAATATATATATTACATATATATTTACAGCTGTGGTGCAGTTTTTACGCTTGATGTTTCTGGACAAAAACCCAACCTGGGTGCAGGGAATCTGACTGGAATTGAACCTCCTCCCCATTTCAGAAGGACATCTCTGAAACAGAATCCTAACGTTCTTTTTGCTACGAAATAGAGAAATAAACTGCTGTGAACAAACAGGCAGAATATAAATAATTTAAATAAATTCACCACGTATCTAGGAAACAAATCTGCCAGTGGGCTGAAACTATCTCCATATGGTTTCTTAAAACAACACAGGTCTTACCTGTCAAAGACTAAAACCAGAAAGTGTGAAACGAAAGTAACTTATCTTTGTTGAGTGTTTTGACAAAACAAAGTTGCTGCACAGCTGCAGCAGAATGTGAGATTTATCTTTCTAATGTGTGTTTAAGGCGTAAAAGAAGACATTTCTTTATTACAAATGTGACAGGAACTAAATCTACGTTGAAGCCTCAACAGAAGCAAAAGGTCTAACTGTTGGAGGTGTTGGTCTTGGAGGCTGAGAACAGTCAGGATATTACTACCAGCATCCAAAAGACACTTCTGGTGTGTTGCATAAATATTAAATTCTCTTTAGTCAGTCGTCTCTGACACAACACTAAAATATATCTGTTATTCGGTGAAGTGATGCAGTTAGAGCTGTAAAAGTGGGGACTTGCTGTTACCATAATCTCTGTCCTGATCTCTTTTCCGTCCTATCTTCTGTTGGCTGAAGGATGCAGTTCACTCAGACTGACTGACAGCTGCTGCCAGGAAGGAACAGTTTGTCTCTGTGCTGTGATGCTGACCTGCTGATGCACTACCTGTGGAAGGAAGTAGGAGAAGAAAAAAACACACTCAATAGAATGTAAAATAAAAATCCTGTTTCACAGTAACATGGCAGAAATGGGCTGTTATTCTGCAGTTCACTTCCCTGAGAAGTGTGTCAATAGCTATTAGCTTCCTAACAAGGAGATCAGGTGAGCCGGGGAACAGCAAAGCGAAGCTCCCTGAGGCACAATCATGTTCTATATTTCCTGAGGGGAGGTCTGCACTGTACTGTAGTCCGTTAGCAATCTTCCAGAGGCCTATTAGGCGACTGTAGCTGTATAAAGAGTGGAGCAGGGAGGGTGTCTCATCAGTGCTGATAACAGGGTATCTGGTCAAGTCATTAGCTCTCCTCTTATTGAATTCCTCCGACCAAATAGACCGAATGGAGCTAAATAAAGCTATAGATGGTGAGAGGAGCCTGCAGCCCATTAATATGCTGCCAGCTCGCACTGACACTCGCTGGCTTCCTCCCCTGTCTCTCGATCTCTCCCTTAGTCTCTTTGTCACATTTCCTCCTTTTTCTCTCCTTACCTGTCTCTCTATCTTTTTTTTTTTACACTCTTTTCTGTCACCTTCCCTCTTCTGTCATTCTCAGCTCTCTCTCTCGCCTCCTTCCTTCCCTCCTCTCTCCTCCCTCACTCTCCCCTTGTCTGGGGGGCCTTAATGGCGAGCATGTACAGCAGCTCTGACACCGTCACATCTGCTGGCAGAGAGGGTCTCTCCCTCACCACACAGCCTGCTAATGAGATCTTCCCCCATTTAATTAATACCATAAGAATTTTAATTCTGACTGAATCAATTTAATGTGATGTGATTTTGTCAGCTCTATTCCCCAAGTACAGAAAAAAACAGAGCGGGCCCTGATGCTTATTACATACATCATTTCACGGGCCCTGCATTCCCTGCTGACTTAAACAAATTCTAATTAAGACTAATTAAAGCATCATTTATGAAAACGCTTGTGATAGTTATGCAAACATTCTGGGTGGGTATGCTCTGCATGATAATTACCCCCGGTTTAAATTAAGACCTGTTCCCTGGCAATTATGCTAGCCACACAGCAGCACCTCATGGAAAACCTTCTTTATTCACCTCCTACAATTAAGCACCAGAGCTGGCTCCTGAACTATCTACCCAGAATGCATTTAGGAGAAGAAAAGAACGATTACTCACTCTTGTTTTTTTCTGTCAGGTGGAGTAAATGGAGCCAATCTAATGTTGTGTATCACACTTACTCCGGGGTTAAAGTAATGATCATAAAGGAGTCTGTGGTGGCTGATATCTAAAGTGACACTTGCTGCCTTCGGACGTGGTGATTGGTCTGCGTCTTTCTCTGTGAGTTTTTTTGTCACGTTAAAACTGCTTAGGCAAACGTGAGCAGATGCAACGTCTTAGATCTCCACCTCCACTCACTGAGTTACTTCAAACACACAAGATGACTACATTTGTAGAAAACGTTTGTTTGTGATGCACTAACAGCTCGTTGCCTCGTTACAAACTGGGGTTTTTTTTGTGATGCATTAACAGCTCGTTGCCTCGTTACAAACAACCAGATCATGAGGACAAATGTCCTGGAAAGTCTCCAGATATGAAGTGTCTTTGGGTGAAACATGCACTGCATATAATATAATGTATGCATCAAAATTACTGCTGCACACTCCAGCCCAGTAGGTGACAGTAATGCACCTAAAAAACGCACCTAAAAAACCTTTGCCTTTGCACCTAAAAAACCTTTGCACAGAATGCACTTCAGGCCTACAGTCACCTCAACAGTTAATATAGCCCACAGTTAATATAGCCCATAATAAATCTAATGACCAGAGCCAAAAAGCCTTAAAATGATTAAATGTTCTGTATTTATTTACTGATTAGGACGAGCGGAATACATTTGAATAAAATGCCTTTCCATTTGTGTTATTTTATGATATTCAATAAAAAATATCCTGCAATGGATATTAGTTAATTTATTAAATTGCTATATTAATCAGCATTTTTTTTCATGTAAACCTATATGTATTGGTCTATATTATAAACGTATGATAAGGTTATATTTAACTAGGTTTTATTTATTCTTTTTTTCTATCCTTACTGTAGGATTTAGTTAAAATTCACACACAATGTCACAATGTCCATAAGACCAAGCAGCCTCTCAGAATAACCAGACTCAGCACTTAAATCCATGTAACAGTAGGAAATAACTTCCTGTTTAAAACCATTTTTAAACAATGCACCAGAACACGGAGAACAGAACAAAATTAGTTATATTAGAAATTTAAAATCAAAATACTTGTGCTGGAGAATACAGCAGAATTTGACCCATGAATCTGGCTCTTTGTGGAACAAAGTTCAATAAAAACATGTGACCATTTCTTTTAACACCTGTTTATCTTCTGGGGTTTTACGGACCTAAAATCTGATGAAAACAGTTTTTCCCTCTGTTGTTTCTGGGACTGGCCCAGAGTTTTATGTCATGTGGCTGTGAATAGACATCCTGCAGAATTCTGCTGCCTCTTTATCAGGCTCTTAGCAGGAGTTTACAGTGTGACGCCATTACACCTATCAGCTCTGTTGATACGGTGGCACACTCCCAACAATGCATTGTTTCACGGCGCTGCTGGCCGGGCTATTCTGGTTTCACCGGCTCTATTTAAAGCCGTTCACTTTCACTTTCATCTGGGAACGTTGGTGTGTCTGCAGCACACAATCAAAGAGCTGCACCTTAGTAACTGTTCTCATTAGGATTAAAATCACAACATTTGATTGGTTAATAATCTGATCGATACCAACACTGTATCAACTACAAATATATAATAACAATTACCCAGTTGCCCTCGTGCTGAGCTCTAATTTATCCTAAGCCTCCACCGTTGTTACACTGACCCCTCACTACAGTCGTCTCTTTTGTCCTAGAGCCACATCACACTGTGTCGACAACACATCCAGCAGATGTGAAGCTGTGCGTGTGTCGCGGTAATTCATCCTACTCTTAAATGTGTTTTTTAATAAAGATATGGCGTCCCGGTGCTCAGATGGCTCAACGTGGTGCTGTTGTTTATATGTTTGCACAGCACTTATCACTTCTGTCATGTTTGTTTACTCTTTCTCAGTGTGTTCGATTTTGGCAATGCCGCAGCATTATTGCGTTTTACTCCATGAGAGGCAGCTGGTTCAATAAGCTGAGGAAACACACACACACATAGGTCCAATTCCCAAATCAGTTGCTTGTGATGTTGAGGGAAGTGGAGCAGCAGGGCGCAGACCCCCAGTTCCACCCACGTCCTGTTTTACGTGCACTGCCTTCCCCTGTACATGCAGATGGCACAGCGCTCCCAGATTTCATTTGAGGTAATCTAATCCCTCCACTGCTCCCTCTAGAAAGGAGGAGTATTAGCGGCCATATGTCAACCAGATTTGTCAGATTATTCATTACAATTAATTGCTGTTCCACTTAAGGCCTTTAAGGCTGTGAATTGCTCCGAAATCTATTGCAAACACAAAAATTATGAGTAAAAGACTTTGGCCCTGTCATTCAAATTTCAGGCTGACCTTTAGTGGAGCCTGGCTTTTCTGAGGCAGTGCAGGAGAGGGAGCCTTTCTAATTGGTGTTTCTTCAGACTTTTTTATTTATTTTTTTATTTTCCATTTACAGGTAGTGTGTCTGTCTCTACTGACACAGAATACTGGAAAGACTGCGCTTCCCGTTGAGGGTGATTACACCCACCGGCCACTTAGGTCCACTGTTCTCGTAATGTTGCAGTAACTGCACCTAAAATACACTCGCGTAGCGCTCATATTTATATCTGCAATTTGTTTTGCTTATATTTTGGATGCAGTATCACCACAGTTAGATTCCTGTACACTGTACACTGTCAACTGAATTTCAATGTGGACCTTTTTCGAAGGTTGGCTGCGAGGCAGCCCTAATAGCCACCTGAATTAATGTGCTGTCCAAGGATATGAGCCATAATACTTTGGTGATTAATGTTTCACTGCTGCTCTGCTCCCATAGTTATGGCTCAGACCCCAGAGATAAACTATACACTACATACTCAGATCACATTCGACCACAGGTTCACTCGGAATTAAATTTGTTACTCTTTTTTGTACTTTTTTTTTTACTTCCTGAATCTGACTTTAAAAAAAAATGATATTGATTTTTAAATCCTATTAGTCCAAATCATAACGAGTACTCCTTGAAGTAAAAAGTCACAGCAAATTACTGGGTTTTGATTGACCGTGATTATGATTGAAATCCACGGGGCTGATTCATTGCTGATGATGTATTTTGGTTAATTATGGAATTACGGCACCAGAGGAGTAACTTTAAGCCCGTGTGATTGGCCCACTTAATTGTGCTTTATGAGATAGGGCTTAGCAGGCAGGGCTTAGAGACTCAGTGTTAGGGCTGAAGTAGGAGGAGAAAATCTCTCCCAGGTCATATTACACAGTTCAGAGTTAATGAGAAGGTAGAGGTAAGAGGATCCATCAGCACATCAATCTAACGCAGCTCTCTCCTGCCACCGTCGCTGCAACACCTTTCATCCCTCACACATTAATCATCATTAATATTGTACAATTCTCACCACAATCACAGTAACACATTATACTGGAACGTGTAATACTTTACTGGAAGGAATAAATTGTGAGAATTTAATTTTAAAAATTAACGCCGTTACTTCACAGCGCAGGCTTTATTTTCATTTCTATCAGCAGCTATGATGGAGGGGGAAACAGCCCGACTGTGCTGCTCCTCATTAATCACAGACAGGAGGGTCCGTGTCCCTCTGTCTGGTGCCTTATTGTACGTGGCGGCTGCGGCGGCCTCAAGTGCCTCGGTGCGGCTCAATGAGAGATCATATCCACCTGTATATTGAGAGAAGGAGGCGCTGGAAATATTTCAGATTCCTCTCTACGCTCGCAGCGCCGGTGGATCGATGCTCTAAACGCCGCTCGCCTGGCCTCGTCTCATCACTGTACCACTGCCGACTGACAC